GCTGTTGCTTTGCCAACGCTCTAGTCCTCTTCTTGGCGTGCTTCTTCAGTAGCTCCTTGTACTTTTCCTTCTTCTTGCTGTANCGCGTACGGCAGAATGACCGATGTTGCACTGGCCGTCTTGCCGACGTACGACTTCAGAGCGCCTCCCTTCTCCGGGGCATCCTTCATCATCGGCGAGCCTCGATGGGCCGAGTGAGCGTTCGCCGCCTGCTGTTGCTTTGCCAACGCTCTAGTCCTCTTCTTGGCGTGCTTCTTCAGTAGCTCCTTGTACTTTTCCTTCTTCTTGCTGTAGTAGTAGTACTGCACGCAATCGGCCACCGATTTTCGCTCAAGAAAACTCGCAATGAGGCCAAAGTTTTTGGGATGCTGGAGGTACTTCTCGCGAAAAATCTCCTTCTCCCCCTCCGTCCAGATGTTAATGTTCTCCACCTCCTTGTACAGCAGAAAGGGATCCTCAATGAAGCCATTTCGATTGTCGTACTTTGCCTGAGGTTTCATCGTGCTGTCGTACATGATGAACGGAATGACGGCGTAGCTGCGCATCTTCTGGTCCTCTATCGCCTGCACCTGCAGTCCGTCGATGATCTTATCCAGCTCGGCATCAGAACGAATTTGCTGCCCATTTCGCTGCAATCGTTCCTTGTTCTCGCGTTGTTTTCGAAGCTCCTGAAACTGCCGCTCAAAGTAGTCTCGCAGCTTCTGGTCATTTGCCTTTTTAATCGTCGTGCACTCCTTCTTTTTCATCTTCTTCAGCCACTCTCGGCAGTTCTTATCGTATGACTCACAAAGGCACTTGACATGCAAAACTCGCTCTGCATTCTGTCGGCGAATACGCTCAACGAGAACTTTTCGAAAGGATTTGAAGCGTTCGTAGTTTGCCCGAACTATGGCCAGATCAGTCGCCTGATTGTACAGTGGCTGTAGACGTCACAAAAAAAGATTAGTTTTCCCAAACAAAATTTAAAAGTGTCCACTTACCAAATCATTCAATGGTTCTAATTTGTCAAACTGCTTATGCGCCTTTATTTCCAGCAACTGCGTACACAAACACACACATTTAGTGTCATTATTTATTGATCCACACCGCTGCTAATCAGCTGTCCTTCAACTTACATCATTGGTACTGTAAATCTTCTGCTCTATTGTCGGCTTTTTTGGTTCAGCCTTTTGCTTGTCTTCTTCCCCATCGCCAGACGTCTTACTGGTCATCTCTTCCAGTTCATTCTGGATGCAAACAAAAAGTTACGAGTTATGATCTAATAAAACTGCACTTAGCAACAAAGTTACCTT